AAGTGCATCGCTACTAGTAACAAGGGCATCGCTACTAGTAGCAAGGGCATCGCTACTATAGTAACAAGGGCATCGCTACTAGTAACAAGGGCATCGCTACTAGTAACAAGGGCATCGCTACTAGTAACTAGTAGCAAGGGCATCGTTACTCGCTACTAGTAGCAAGGGCATTGTTACTAGTTATTAGTAGTAAGTGCATCGCTACTAGTAACAAGGGCATCGCTACTAGTAACAAGGGCATCGCTACTATACTATAGTAACAAGGGCATCGCTACTAGTAACAAGGGAATCGCTACTAGAAACAAGGGCATCCCTACTAGTAGCAAGGGCATCGCTACTATTGTAACAAGGGCATCGCTACTAGTAACAAGGGCATCCCTATTAGTAGCAAGGGCATCGTTGCGAGTAAGTGCATCGGTACTGGTAACAAGGGCATTGCTACTAGTAACAAGGGCATCGCTACTAGTAGCAAGGGCATCGCTACTAGTAACAAGGGCATCGCTACTAGTAACAAGGGCATCGCTACTAGTAACAAGGGCATCGCTACTAGTAACGAGGGCATCGCTACTAGTAGCAAGGGCATCGCTACTAGTAGTAAGTGCATCGCTACTAGTAGCAAGGGCATCGCTACTAGTAGCAAGGGCATCGCTACTATAGTAACAAGGGCATTGCTACTAGTAACAAGGGCATCGCTACTAGTAACACGGGCATCGCTACTATAGTAACAACGGCATCGCTACTAGTAACAAGGGCATCGCTACTAGTAACACGGGCATCGCTACTATAGTAACAAGGGCATCGCTACTAGTAACAAGGGCATCGCTACTAGTAACAAGGGCATCGCTACTAGTAACACGGGCATCGCTACTAGTAACAAGGGCATCGCTACTAGTAACACGGGCATCGCTACTAGTAACAAGGGCATCGTTACTAGCAAGGGCATCGTTACTAGTAGCAAGAAGCTACTAGCTACATCCAGGAACAGGTCCCTTGAATGACTCCAATGGCGGTGTTGGCGGACCCATTCCCTACAGGTCAAACGGACGTCATTTTGGAGTTGATATACTCCATGAGGTTCTCAGGACCGGGTTTGAACCGGGGTCAGACTGGGCCTGTACTGTGATTGCCTGAAGTACGGTCCATCTAGTTTGGCTTGACCGTCCCAGTGCTCCTTGGCCCACCAAATTCCCTCCCAAGATTCTTTCGACACCTGAAGAGACCCCCTTTTTTGTGTCTTTTGTTCAAGGCAAAATGACATTCGAAGCGGTGACATCCCCAGCTTCCCCAGAATGGATTGACCAACACCCCACCTGAGCTTCTTAAGCGGACTCCCTCCGTTTCCCTGCAACATGTTAACCTTTTTCCACCCGTTCTTGTTTCATGGGAAAACCATGGAAAACCAGTCCCCCGATAAGGTTAAAGGCTACCCACTGACCGGGCACGCAACCGTCATAACAAAGTGAGGTGCAGCGATGGTCCCGTGCAGCAGGCGATCCAAGTAGAAGTGATGCCTTTCAACAGAGAGCACATGCTGGCATCACTTGGTGGATCGTCCAGGTATGCTGAGAATAGTATGGCCCCCCATATCCCATATCTGCGGAAGTTTATCGTAGTCTTTTATTTGGAGGCATTCCATCCATGACATTGATTGAACCGCTCAAAAAGCATCGCTTTGCAATGGCTTCAATGGCTAGATTACCCGTGTCTTGCATCAACATGGTCTCTCATGGACGGATCCGATGCATCTGCTTACAGTGTCAGCGTAGTTTGCACAACCCCCGGATCAATGTCTGGATGGTGGTCTGTACCCCCCAATCTTGGGGATTGCACCACTACTCGAAAACCGGTGATCTTGTGCATGATATCATGTTAAATCCATAATCCCTCCCAAATCTTAAACCCACCTGTCTCTGGATTTGTTGGGGTCGGTCAAAAGAGAATTGGACATTTTTATGGTGGGGATTTCCGCTGGAGTGATAAGTGTGGCCCACATGCTTGCATAGGGGACATTAGGGGACTGTTTGCTTCCAGGATGGATGCCTCTTACTGAGTATTACCGATCTGCCAGACCCAGAACCGACCCAACCTGGTGTCTTTTTTGTTCAGAGGAAGCGATGTTTGAGGTTCATGGTGTCATGTTTAATATTTGCAACCACTGGTTCTCTCCTCTCATCTCTAGCATCCTGGTACCAAGTACTGGGTTTTCCACGTTTTTCCAAGCATTCCCCGTTGGTCCCTGCCAAGATACCCCCCGACGAAACCGGCCCCGAAGAGCAGCGCATAGGCTGTTCGCAAGTCCTGGACTTGCGAGGGACAGTTTCCTGGCTTCACGCCTCGCAGAACCTGCGCTTCAAAAAGACAGCCCTGAAGCTCATTCATGCAGAATGACTATGCTCGACCTATTTTCAGATACCCCTATCGAGCAGAGGAAGGCGGACGATGACTCTGGATGAGTTGACTCAAAAGCGATGTTCACATCATCCATGTTCCACGTAACCATGATCATTCTAGGGAGTGTATTGATGTTTCCCTCTGGGTGGTCAAAATCCAGTCTGTCTATTGGAGGAATGCGTTAAGAAATGCGTCTGAGCTGCGTTGATCTCTGAAAACACCTCAAAACCCACGCGCGAACCGGTCGTCCTTCATTTGGATGAGATGCTCCACCTGGACCTCACGGCCATTCACCTTGCCATGAACGATCGACGAGTCGCCGACGCGGCGAAAAGAAGACCCCTAGCGGAGCACCGGTCCAGCTTCCACGGAGCTCGGCGCGCGGAGGTCCTCGCCCGAGTTCATCCGGAGGTCCGCGCCCGAGCCATCCAAGCTTTCCGGAGTTTGGCCAAAGGTGCGACGGAGGCAGCTGAGCACCCAAGAACCCACCTGCCAGACCTCAGACGCGGCAGCTGGGAGATGGGGCAAAAGATGGAAAACCCATGAAAACCTGTGTTTACCATTACGGAATATAACGTATAGCCTTATAGCATAGCGTGGCCTGCTGGTTTGGCGGGTTGGGCATTTGCAGATGTGGCTCAGCTGGCGTGTGTCGATCGGACAGCAATCAAGGTGGAGGTACGAAGGGAAAGGAATGTATGGACAATTTACTTGGACTTTGACCTTTGAAGCTGTTGGGGGATATTTTGATGTTGGGTCATACTCCAGGATTCTTTGAGGTTACAAATAAACAAAACCTTGCTGCTCAGGCAATGCGTGTACGAGCTTGTAAATCCATCTTCCCTAAAGCGCCCCAAAGGGCCTCTCTGAACCCCCAGCACAATAAAGACTTCCCAGCCTGGCCCTTCAGGCCTTTTAGGGAAAACGTTGGAATCTACAATACTCCAACCCTCCACCCTCCTCTCCCACAAAATCCAAACCCCTGCTCGTCGTTCCCTTGTGACCACAAATCTTAGGCCAATCAGCGCCACAGCATGCCAAGACCAGCAACAAAGCCACCTGGAACGCAACCCCAAAAACATCCAAAAGCAAGGTCTGTTTCTCTCAAAAACCCACTGAAGTTTTCAAGCTCTGGATGTTGCCATACCCTCAACCAAAACACAAACGGTATGATATTTCTTGGGTTGACAACAGCTCTTATCCATGCCTGACAACAATCTGGTAAAATCGACCAATCTATGATCAACGCCCCAAACACGAACCGGTCAGCGAACAGAGTTCGTTTTCCGTTCGGTTTCGAGTGGGGGGCACTCAGAACACTCGGAAGATACTAGATCACCTGGGTTCTGACACTCCGCCCAGTTCCGCCTAACTGGGTATTCTTTCAGTGCTCAAAAGAACAAGCGTCGACAAAAACTTCACATTTGATAGAAAGAACCCAAAAACAACCCTGCGGTGGCTTAACCGGCCCTTCTTTTCTATGTTCCTTGAATAACGCCCAAAAGTCCAACTCAGGACTTTATTGTATAAAATCCTACGGGACTGAGGTCATTTCCTTATTTTTTAGTGGCCCAAAGTACGATGCAAAAAAATGATAGTTCTTTTTTGCCTTTTTAAATTCCTAGGACCAAGGGTTTTCTAAAGTCCTGGGACTGAGGTCGGGACATGTGTATGAAACAAAATTCTGGTTCATACTGAAATGCTGTCATTGACCCTGGCTCATGTTTTTCTGCACAAAAAGAGCTCTACTTTTTTCCTTTGTGGGATCTTTCGATCGTGTGCTTCCATTGAGGGAATAGACCTGCAGAGTTTGTGTGGCGTATTAGTCATAAATAGATTTTGTTAAAATGAAACACTCTCCTGTCTGTGGCATGCTGCAGCCCAACACAATACATCGAGCACGACCGCGAAACACAAGGAACGACCGCGGAGTCCAAGGAACGACTGGGAAACACAAAACACAATATAATCCTGAGCTTGACCCTCAGAGACCTCCAAGTGGAAAAAACACATCCTTTTATAGAATCCTGCGTCTGACCTAACATGTAGTCTTTCAAGTCAGTCACATCATTATTTATATATCTAGCTGTTCTGAAGTTCTGGACCAAGGACTTTTGGGGAATTCCGGATAGAAACCCATCCCTGTTATGAAGTCCTGGACGTACGTATGTTTCGGAGAATGGTTTGTACTATTTAGTGGGGTTGGGGTACTGGATTTTAGTATGGATTATTCATCGGATATTTTTCTATCAAAAACTGCTGCGCAAACAATGCATTTTGGAGTTCAATCTGTTGTCATTTTTTGCTTGGTAGATGAAGTGAACACGCTAGAAAACTGTGTTTTGAGTCCCAAAGCCTTGATATGTTGGATTGGAGGCATCAGCTATGTTTCTTCGCTCGCCACACGACGTTTGTCATCTGAACATCTTGGCAAACACTGTCTGCCCTGTTCTTTTGAGCAAGTTCCGTTTTTTGCACGTATCGCAATTGGAATTGACGAGTGTAGTGCAGAAGCAAGGGGAACTTGCTCTTTCACAGAGCATCGAGTCTGCCTGTGTGGGCCTGGACAGCAGGCCGGGGACCTCTTTTGGTCGGTCTTGGCAATCCCTGCAGCATGCTTATATGCCATGTGTTTCACACTGTTTTCTGCTGCGAGGGAGTTGTAGCAACCAGCTCCATCACTAATCAAAGCCCTGTGTGTGTGTCCACCCCTGGACAAAGGGTTTTCCACCGTCACTTTTTCCACCACTTTCTACAGGCAGGGGGACCAGGCATCTCGCTGCTGACCTGGTCTTGACAAAGCTGGGCAGCGAGATGGGAAGCACTGAGAGACGTCTCAGTGTGTACCTGCTTCAACTTTTGCACAAGCTGTCCAATCTCCTTTTTTGTTTCCATGGTGGTTCATGATACTTCCCACAAACCATTTTCCCTCCGCATTGCCTGAGCCACCGGTTGATCATCTTGCAGCCGCTTTGAACAATGTTCAACAATACAATTGCGCTGACTTTTCCACCTTGCGGTTCTTCGCCTTTCTTCCCATCGTGGTAACTGAGAAAACTGAATACAAGTGTCAGAGTGTGTTTCGCTCAGCCGTCCCACTCGGGTGCTGAGTGTGATCCCCGTCACTGGGGCGCCGCTCTTGCATGGGAAAGCAACAACCACAAAGCACCACTACTCATCGGACCCTCACAGGCAATCACCGACACCTTCACCGAATCAACCGACACATTGGCCGCCGGGCAAAAAACGGTATTGCTTTGACAGCCGCCGGGCTCAAAAACGGTGCACACCCCCCATGAGGCAGGTCCCCCCACCCCCCCTGAAAAGTAGAGCCTACCTGTACAGGGTTCCACTCCAACAGCTGATATAGTGTGTCCATGCTTGACTGCTTCAAGGCTCCAAGAGCAAGAGGATAAGACTCTGCGCATAAAAGACACTAGCGGTCTGCACCTCTACCGTGTACGCCCTAGTCACTCTTTCAGTGGTAGCGGAGCAGTGATCCTGGAAGACCCAGGTGAGCTCCTTTCCTAGGCATAGAATTGCTTGTGGGCAAACGGCCATGGATTGGATTGACGACTGGGAAGAGCCTGATGCGGATGTGGCTTATGAGCCAGCAGCCTACGTGAATAGGCATGTGAGAAGAGAACCAGCAGCAATAGCAATGACAACACAGGTCACTACAAAGGTGCCCCCATCTTATGATGGAAAGACTTCATGGTTTTCCTATGAGGATGCCATAGACGATTGGTGTGATATCACCGAGCTGGAAGATGAGAAGAGAGGACCAGCATTGAGAAACCGACTAGAAGGAGAAGCAGCTGTATACAAGCGAGTTTTAGACAGAGATGCATTGAAGGCAAATGATCCACCAGGAGCCGGCGTAGAATATTTCAAACGAGTACTACGACCATATTTCGTAAAAGGATCAACCAATGTATTCCTGTATAGATTTATGCAATTCGTGCGCTTCAATCGAGGATCAGCTGACATGATGAAATGGATGACAAGATTCCAGATTTTACTCCAAAGGCTTATGAGCAGTTGGATGGACATGTTAGAACCAGTCACTCAAGCACATCCACAAGTCCTAGCTCAGATGCAGGCAGATGCAGCGTTGACTGGAGTAGCACCAACGGCAGATAGGATTCAGGAAATCATGCAGACCATCAATGGCAATATGAGGACTTTTCATCAGAACGAATTTCCTCTAGGAGAAAATCTCATTGCCTTACTCATGCTGTCACTTGCAGATTTGTCTCAGGACCAGCGAAACACTTTGACTTCTTTGATGACTGATCGTGGCAGGGTCCTGCAGCAGTATACTACAACAGAGTTGAGGACAGTGTTCATCGAGATGTTCTGCACGACAAAGACTTCAGTAGACAATCCTTTGATGCAGCCAACAGGTGCTGGAGGTAGAAGATCATTTCTCGTACTAGACGAAGGAGAACTCGATGGTACATTTGGCTATTGGGCCGAAGATGAAGAAGATGGAACTGAAGGATTTTTAGATGCCCTGGACGATGTCTTTTGGGTATATGAAGATCAAAACTTCTCGTGGTTCCAAAGGAGATTCCAAGGAAGAAGAGCCAGAAAAGGCAAAGGAAAAGGAAGAAGAAAAGGAAAAGGAAAAGGAAGATCAGGCCGCAGATTCTTCAGACCTCGTGGAAAAGGAAAAGGAAAGAGACGAGGTAAAGGCCATTTTGCTGATGAGCAACAGACAACTGATCCAGATGAGTACTTTGAAGAGAATCCTTATGAGGACACTTGGGAGTCAAACCAAGTAGCATATGATGCCATCCTTACCGAAGATATGAATGACTATCTTCAAGGAGAATATGATGATGCCAATGACTTTTGGCAACAGCTTGAAGAAGCATGGTTTTCCCACAAAGGAAAAGGAAAAGGCAAGAGAAAAGGCAAGAAAGGAAAAGGAAAAGATAAAGGAGATGGCAAACAAGATGCAAACTATGCAAATCAACAACAGTCACGTTCTTTACCTGCACCTTCAAGAACTTCACAAGCATCAGGAGGTCAACAAGGTTTCTTTGCACATTGTGTGACAGCAGCAGCTGAAGTCCATGACAGTGAGGTGGACTTGCTGTCAGGCATGATGACCTCATGTCAAGATGAAGCTGACTGCGCGGTCAACAATGGTGAGACGATCTTCAATGGCATGAGTGCCCCTGTGAGGTACTCTTTGTCAAAGGAGATGCTCACAAAGGCTCCTGATGGCTTTGCGCTTATGAGCGTTGAGGAAGAAGTGAAGGAGATGCAGGCCATTTCATTTTTGACTGAGAATCGCTTCCCGCCGACTATTGCAATCCTGGACATTGGATGCACTAGAGCTATGGGATCAAGGCGAGCAGTCGACCATTTTTGCAACTATGTCGAAAATCACCCAGATTGTGGATTATGGTACTCCTTTGAGGCTACCAAGAGCAAGTTTTACTTTGCCAATTCCCAGAAGGCTACTTGCTCTCAGAAACTGGTGATTTACATGTATGATCGTGCATGGACGATCCACCATACAGAGTTCGACATAGTGGAAGAAGGAGAAGTCCCTTTGCTTATGAGCTTGCCACAGATGAGGAACTTAGGCTTTGAACTCAGGCTGACACCTCAACATGCTTATCTGACATCGATGCCTCTTGGTATCAAATATTTGGAGTTGAAGGTTGCAGCCAGTACTCATCTTGTTTTGGACTTCCAAGATATTGCATGGTATCTGTCTGACGTGAATTTGCAGACTCGGCGCGAGAAGAGTTTTTACTCTCACTTCACTCACTATGAATATGGTCATATTCCTGTTGACCTCAATAGTGATGAAGATGTAGCTGAACATGCATATCCTGTGGTTGACTACTGGGAAGTAGATGTTCACAAGAGAGAACTGATACGTCACCACAAGGATTATAGAAAGATTCTTTTTCCAGCAACTAAGTCCTGTCCTGTAGACACTGACTTACTGGAAGACTTGCGACTGACAATCATCAAGAAGAAGAAAGGTGGAGAAGAGATCAAGAAGACAGATGATTGGCGCAAGGCAAAATGGAAGG